ACACAGTATATATATATATATATATATATATATATACTGTATATACTGTATATGTGTGTGTGTGTGTATATTTGTTTACATATTTATTATTTTATTTGATTTATTTTTATATATTGCTTACTTGGACAAATATGCTATTAAATACATACTACTGTTCAAAATTTTGGGATCAGTAAGACATTTTTAAAGAAATTTTATTCTGTAAGGACGCATTAAACTGATTAAAAGTGACATATTACAGACATTAATAATGTTAGAATAAAAACTATTTCAAATAAATGTTTTGACCTTGTCTATTCTATTCCTAAAGAATCCTGAATTTTGTTTCCACAAAACATCAAGCAACACAATTGTTTTCAATACTGACAATAAGAAATGTTGCTTCAGCACCAAATCAGCATATGAGAATGATTTCTGAAGGATCATGTGACACCGTAGACTGGAGTAATGATGCTGAAAATTCAGCTTTGCCATCACAGGAATAAGTTATACTTTAAAATATGTTAAAATAGGTTTTAAAATGTAATATTTCTTCATAATATTAATTTCAAGTCTTGATGAGCAGAGACGTCTCTTAAAAACATTTAAAAAACGTACCAATCCCATACTTTCGAATCTGTGTAAACTGTCATGAAATTACATTAAAGGGGTCATAAGATGTTGCTAAAAAGAACATTATTTTGTGTATTTGGTGTAATGAAATGTGTTTATGCGGATTATAATGATTTATACTGTCTTTTTACGTGTTGCATCGCAGCGCATAAACATAAAACTGCATTTGTGATCGGAGAACTCTACAATGCTCAAAACTCGCGTTTGAATCGTCAGTGGCAAATTCTTTAAATATGAAAACGTACTTACAGACTGTGATTTAGAACAGCAGGTGTCCTGACATTTTACCCTACCCGTCAGATTGTCTTACCAGGGTTTACTACGCATGCGCACATCAATATTGCGTCTCTTTTCTCATGCTGAACAAGAATATTTAATGTATCTGCATTACTGTAAGGGTAGGTTTAGGGTTGGGGTAGGTGTAGACTTTATTAAAACACAATCTAACGCATCATATGACCCCTTTAAACTATAAATGCCCAAACAAAAACACCACATATACTAATACATTTCCTCATATAAACAAATGTTATGACTTATTGCATTCTTGGGATGACTAAAAGCCATGGCTGAGATTTTGGGTCAGCACTTACAATGTGAGAAAACATCAGCTTGGATCTGTGAGGCTGTGTGCTCATGTTCTGCTGCCTCCCTTGAGATTTCCATGTGTTTGCGGTGTCGTTTCCTGCCCACGGTTCTGCCTTCTATCCTCATGTGTGACATTCAAGTTCACAAGGATCTCAGAGAAACAACACTCTTCACACCAGAGAGCCCTGCAACTGCCATCACATTCACACTCTGATCCACACAGAAACGGACAAATCCTCATGGACGGCCTGTTTTCTCTCTTTCCTCAACACTTCAGCTCTCTCTCTCTCTCTCTGTTCTCTGTAGCTCAGCACAGTAGCACAGTCAAGTCTCTGAGGCTTAGATTTGCTAATTATTTACATTATTTACACTTAATTTCTTCCCAAAATAATATATACTGAGATAGCTAGTGTCCACAGTAATGGGAAATATTCCAGAGGCACTTGAATTTATGCTGTCATAAATAAAACATAAAGTCTAAAGACAGCATCCATTCTGAATTATGGGTAAAGAATGAGCAGGTTGGGTCATAATCTCGTGCTGGTTAATAGGTAAGTCAGGCAATGTGAAGTTACCTACATTCCTTCTGACAACAAATCTTCCTGTCATATAAGGAATGGCAGAGGCCTCTGGACATAACCTGTAGGTGACAAGATGCTGGTGCCCTGCTTTGTTGGCCAACCTGACAGACATTATTAAGTCATAAACAATGCAGCATTCTGTATTCTATGGTAGAAACGTTTCTAGATGGATCTAGAATAATTTTGAATAAGAAAACGAGAACGATATGTGTGGGGCATTGTTTTCAATTATGAGTAGGAGGAAGAAAGATCAGCAAAAATCTTTTGTAAAAGAGGGAAAATAATCAGTTAATAATTGATAGTTTTGATGAATAATAAATCACTAACACAGATGCATTCATGCTGCAGAAAAACAGAACAGACCTTCTTGAGTTCATTCAGCAAACAGAAAGGGGGAAAGGAGTAGGCCTTTCCTCTCAGCTCACCTCATCTCTCCTCTTCTATAATTCAGTGACCTTGAGATATTTCTTCCCCTGAGCTCACCACTTTTAGCTCTCATGCCAACGAAAAGCAAGGGCTCCCTTCGGAATAAGAAGTAAACTGACAGTACAAGTCTCCGGGAGTGGCATGTGCTCGCTGACATTGCAGGTGAGGGTCGGCGATTAATTCTTTAACAGCTCAGTGACACAAACAAACTTTGAGATACATGGTCTTTATGTTGTGATAATGCTTACCAGTTCAATGAAGAAGTTAATATTTAGTAACTTACTATTTAGGCACAATACTGACAGTTACGTTGTGTGTATTCGCTTGAAAATGATAATGAATCCAAAAGCAGGACTGGCTGAGTTGCGCATTTCAGAGCAACCAACAGTTTAGTTCCTGAAAGGATCTGTTTTAGAAAAAAAAATTGGTTGATTGAATGATTCAATGACTCACTCATAAGTTACTTGTTTTGTTCCTGAGTGAATTATTGACTGTGTCATAAAGCTTGGGTTGCTGACTTGTTGCCTTATCGGGCAATGACTTTGCAGACAGCATTTGTGCATGAAGGGACCTCACAAAACTGATTTTTGGACAGATTTCTGGGGCGGCATGATTTACAACAAAACAGAGCGAGTTTAAGTGATAAGCAAGTGAATATTTAATTATTGCAATAGTAATTTCTCGTTAGAAATACTGTCAAAAGTGGAAAAGGTTTGTCAAAAATTTATATTTACCATAACCATAATGGAATGGAATGCACAGGATTGTGGGATATCAAAGTGAAGGATACATTTATGCTGCCTTCAAAAATCAATCAGATGAAGGTATCTCAGGAGACAGTAAGTCTATTAAGCTAATGTTGGATTCAGACATGCCTTGATGCCTAATGCATCCTCTGAAGGCAGCATTTTTCAGCTTTCGGATGCAGCCAGTGTTTTTGAATGAATTGGTTTAGTGAATAATTAAATGACTTGCTCACTTTTCTGTTACTGAGTGAATCAGTTGAGTGAATGATTTAATGACTCTCTCATAAGTCATTTGGCTTGTTCCTGAATGAATATGTTGAGTGAGTGATTCAATGGCCTCACTTATAAGTCACCTGTTTAATTCCTGAATGAATGAGTGTCCTAGAAAACTTCAGCTGAGGGAATGATTCATTGACTCACTCATTAGTCACTTGTTTTGTTCCTGAATTCATCTTTTTTTTTTCAGAATGAATCAGAGGACTCATATGTTGATCGATTCATATAGCCAGTCACTTGTCACCAACAACTGGTGTATCAATGTAGAATCCCCACCACTAATGCACAGACTGACAGTCTGTCTTGAACGTGCAATCACAGACAAGTGGAGTGATACAAATAGTGAAAAGTCCCAGTGCTGACAAATGCATATTAGATTTATAACAGGCTCATACAATATATGATAAACACTATTTAATTTTGAACGATTCAAGGTATAGTGGAAATGTATGTATGTGTGTGTGTGTGTGTGTGTGTGTGTGTGTGTG